GGCTCTTCAGGACATGAGGAAGACAAAGCGTCGTTCAAGTATCTGGGTGAGTTCCTTCTCAGCCTAGAGAGTGAAATTTTGCCTGGGAATAATGATTGTTAGAACTCAAGGTTGCATACAACCTGGCAGTATGCTCTAGTCTGCTTCTCTTTAAATGCATAAATGTTGTCTCTAAAGTTTTTATGGACTCAAATTTGTGAAGTGAATGTTGCATACACGTGCCACTAGTATTAGTGCTCTGAAAGTCTCTTGTCTTGGTTTGTTTACAAAGTACAGTGCAGTGTGTGTATCTGCCCAAGGCCCAGTCACCTCAGTACACCTTGTTGAAGAACTAGTTTTGTCTTCAGACATAGCAGGGAATCTCTGATGTATTACACTGCCTCAGGGATACTCATGCATTAAACTAAGACACAAGAAACCTATTTTCTACACACGTAGCTCCTGTGTATTATTATGACCATTTTAAGTTTGAGATCAATGGTAAGTTTGACATCAATTTGACAAACTATTCAAAGAAATGTAAGCTCAAGATGTGAAGGTACATGTATACATGTATCACCCCCTACAGTACAGTTGAGTGCTCCATCCTTAGTGTGATTTGACAGGTATGACACATATACCATCACTGAAGTTATGATAAGTTCAATGTCACCCCGACATAGTCCTTTAAGTACTGCACTTCAGTTTGAAACTATTTTGACATGGAAGACTTAACTTACTGAAAAGGATCGTCAGGAGCTAACCCTGTTAGCCTGAGGCTATCAATGATTTTCTCTGCTGTGAATTAGTTAGGCATGGTGAAATGCTGTGTTCATTGGACAGGGACGTAGTCAAACGAGGCCCCCTATCTCTCACAGGATTTATGACAGGCAGCTGATACATCAGAAGTGATCAGCAGACTCATCTAGTATCATAGAAAAACATAGTTGCTATGTTGTAAATTGCAGATTTTGAAGTATTTTAATTTGTTGGAATGGAAGTTACTGTAAGAACAATTTGTACAGTACTGTTGTAAATGGTCATGTTTTGGTTAAATAGCAATAAATTAAGGTGCGTGTATGAATGCACATACAGTGCTTTGTATGTCGCTGTATTTTTGTGTGCGTGCGTGTGTTTATGTGTGGAATTTAATTGCGGTCTAGTCTAGAATCTGGTCTGCCAGTGTTATATCCCAAATGGAATATATCGATTGCCAGCACTGATTTTTGTCAAGTACTGTTGCATTGTCGATAACTGAAATGGTAATACAAGAAATAACAACAGCCATGTAATGATCATCATTTAATACAAGCTACTTACATTGTGATTTTCACAGCATAGTTGATGTGTTTGACAGTTGACTAACATACACATTCAAATCACTGCCACATCTGCCCCCAAAGCTTAGTGACTGATTGTCATAATTGCGCAGTGCCCCGGGGCAAGTGTGCGTTCAAATATATCTAGCAAGAACTTACTGATCTTTCAAATAGTGTAAGCTTATAAATAGATCCCCTTGCACAGAGTGCCAGAGAATCTGAACCCCAGTCCTTTGGATGGGTGTTTATGGCTGCGTCTCTCCCTGCTTTGTGGCTTCCTTTCCTCTTGCAAATAATATAAAAACTGCTGCAAGCTCAAGCCAGCTGGAACCATGAAGGTATTCAGGAATCCTGTGTGAAATATTAAGTCTATAATTAGTAGGTAATTGAATTTGTACCATGGTAATTGGATTTGTAGCAAGCTGTTGTTTTTCCAGATAGAATCAGACACCATCTGCTAATAATAATTACTTGCATATTTAATTTCATACATGTATATAGCACCAAACTTGCTGAAGATGTTAATATCAAACAATAACTAATACGAGAATCTTCTGCCATCATCCAAATTTTTATTATGATTCTATTTTGTTTTTTTCCTGCTTGATGTTTTCATTATACAGTACTATCAGTAAGCTGTTGTTATGTTAGATAATGTTAAACTAAGTTAGAATATTAATTGTTCAGCTTAATTGTTCAGAAGAAGTGCATCATTTATTGGGATATACCGATGATATATCATCATGACAAAGATGGAATGGTCTATGACAATTTGTGGATATTGGTAAGAGACCAATACTACTGCCCCGCCCACCTCGGTCAAAACAGAAAAATAATGCAAAACAAAAATGGGGAATTGAAACGTTTGGCCAAGGTCAGTCCACTCCCTTCTTTGTTCAGCAGCTTTTTTAAAATGATATGTGGGAACAGTTATGTTGCTGTACATGTTACTCTAATTATACAGCAGACATGTTTGCCAGAAATGATGTTATTTGTCTGTCAACAATGTGCAAACAGCTTTCCATCCCCTCCCATTTTACACATTGATTTTCTATCAAGAACAAGACACTGCACAGTACTAGTATGTTCGGCTCTTCTGGCAAACGAGGAAATGTTGTACTAAAAATGATTTTTTTTAATGATATGACAAGATATGAGACATCTTTTGTGTCTACTGTTTTGACATAGATCAACTTTTACAGGTAATAATATGATTGTATGTACAGTAAGATTTCAACCAACATTTAGAGTGCCTAATGTATCATTGGGTGCAATTACTGCAATGGACCTGCATACACTTGTTCTAGCATGTCATTGCATAATTATCTACCTCAGTATTTGTGAGAAGAAAGGTCTTACCCTATAGTCAGGTAAGGTCATTTACAGTGCACTGTGCCACATCTAAATAAATGTTACTATTATGGGACAAGAATCTATGTGTACGTGTATTTTGGCAGGCTGCATTTCACATCATTTCTGAAAGAGGGAGTACTAGTACCAACAACATACACTGTTAGCAAAACAAGATTACAAGCATGGAAAAGAATGGTGCTTTTCTTAAGGTTGATTGCCATTTCAATCCTTTGGACTTTTCAAAATAGTCATACCTTCTTTCCTTTGTTTTAAACACTTTCACTGGTTTTAGGGCATGACAGAAGAGGTAAACATGTTACCAGTATTGTTTTGAACATTTTGTTTAAGTTCTTGTTCCCAGGAATGTGTATGTCTGTCCTTGGTGCTGAATGTGCCATCATGTAAGATTTTAAACAGATATTCACAATTTTTAGCTTTCAAGTTGGCCTTTCAGTGCTTGTACCAGTCAGTTCTTTGTTCTTCATCATACTGTTTCAAAACCAATGTTGTTGTTGCTTTAGGCATCTTACCAACAACTACAGTAATTTGTACATACTCCAACTTTTTTTAACAAGGATGCAAGATGATAAGGTATTGAAATATTACAAGGTGCCTAATGGTTGAATATTTCCTACATGTACCCATGCTGTGACATTTGCACCTGTGAGATTTTTCAAGAGAAGTACATGTATGGCCCCTGGCACTAGAAGACATATAGCAGACGTTAAAAGATCCAGGTTATGACTCAACATTAAAGCGGTGAAGGTAAAACATAGGCAGCTTTTAAGTCTTACCCACCTCTGAGGCATTATCTTAATGTGATCAGATTTCAGGGAAGCAGTACGTGACTATCATGCAATATTTTCCTCAGCCATCTTAATGTAGAGGTATGGAGTCAGCTCAAGGACTACACTACAGTAACTTTGATACAAGCTAGGTATTATGTTAAAAAATGTTGAACAGAAGATGTTCAACAAAACTATCTCATACTGTAAAGAGGTTTTATTTCTCTATCAGAGAAAATCTGTAACTGTTAGAATATGTAACGTTATCATCTATATTTGCTGGTTAGACAGGATTCTTTTCAAGACTTCAAGACAAAAGTGGACAAGTTATAATTTCATGTCATCTTTCTTGTCTCACAGTGTATTTTTATGTAACATAATTGTGATAGATGTATCAGGGGATAGATTATAAACTCAAGGTTTTTACTCTTGTTGCATTGTGTATAATCGTGTTTTATAGTGAGATGATGTTTATCACAATGACATTTCCATTTTCCCTATAAACTGTAAAGTATAAACCATTACCACAGCTACGTTTGTCTGTACATGCTCAAGGCAAGACCTGAAGTCTTATCACTGACCACACATAATGGCAAAGAAATGCAAACAAGCCCTTTTGGGGACCTGCCTGTCAGCAACTGTCTACCTTACATGAATAATTCAAAGTTGTACTTATACAGCTTTGTAGCATGGCTGTTAGGGTTTAAAAGCTTTACATGATGGTTACTTGACTGTACACTGGGTGCCCTGCTATACATGTACATGACATTGTAATTTGTATGTACACTGTGCATGTGACAGGGCTGATTGTAAGATGGTATCTGTTCAAGGGTTTAAAGTTGATGTTACTATTCCTACTAGTAGCAACATCGCTGCAGTGTCAATCAATTGTCTGAGATAACATTTAGGTCTGCTCTGCCTTTTATTTCCTCTATCCTGCATTATCTCAGTATGCCACTGTGTCATTGTCAAAGTCAGCATAGCCTTGATAATGCTTTCATGTTTTGGCTTAAATCATAATTTTCTGATTGTTCCCTCTAATTGAGTTTGAGTCTGATGCATCGGGATCTAGCGTGCAGGGAATCGCCGGAGACTTTGCATTAATTTTGTTTCCAAAGCTACGCTAAAAGGTCTGCCGCCATCTTGTCTGGAGCTGCTCTGCTGCCCAATCACATGTCAGCCCTTCCCTCGGAGGGTTCATCGGAGATCTCTTGTGGGAGGAGTCCATTTCTATGTTGCCGGAGGGAGGGACAGGATGCAATCTAGCTCCTGACGTTCTTGCATTAAGGTTGCAAATAAAATGCCGCCTGAGTCAAGAGTTGCAATATTCATAAAACAAGCCCTCAGAACTTTATGCATCTGTAACATTACAGAGTATGATGATGGATGTTTTGAACAATTTACAGTAGCTGGGGGACAAATGATGAGTGGCAGTACCGTTATGAAATTTTGCCGTTCCAATCAGCCAATGAGTCTATGGGATTACCCTGCCGTTTTATGATAATGACCCCGACTGTGGAGTTACGCCTGGTATTCAAATGAGCACTCACATAGGAAGTTTCGTATTATACCTGAGTTGATAGATATCAATGTCAGGACCTTTTGACGCTGGTGAAAATGAATGCCCGCCTGTGGGTGAGAAATTTCCCTGGATAGGTGTTAGTAGGTGGGGCCTGATGAAGTTTAGTCAATAGAACCCCGGCTGCTAATGTAGTTTCCTTGTTTTCCGCACACCGACCATAACTCTGCTCACAGCAGCCTGTAACTAGTTGTGAACCCTCTGGAGCGACGTCGGCTGGATTCACTCCATGGTTGAGTCTGATCCCCTGAGGTATAGTGAAACCTAGCACGTACACGGCACCGGAGCAAGTGGGACGAGATGGAAGGGGAGAAGCAACAGCTCGCTCCGAGCGCGTCCTGCGAGCACGTTGACACGGCGGCGATTACTCCGGGCTCTGCCACGACCCCCGACGCGGCATGCATCTTGTGTCAGATTTGTACGCGACCCTCCGAGAAGAAGGAAAAACTGAAAGAAATCCCAGTGGTAAGTCCTCGCCCATTTCCCATTCTGTACAACTGATGCAGTTTCACGCTGCACCTAGATTTGTTTTTCCTTGAGGTTTATCTCATCTAAAACCCCTCTGGTCCTGTTCATGTAAAAGTGCACGAAAGCCTAGCATTGAGATCACTCTACATTCTCATACGGCACGTAAAATGGAACATAGGTATTTCTGACTTCCTTTGGGCAATTCACTTGCTTAAAAGCTCATTCGAAATGGACTGGAATGGGTAATAACAAAAAGACATACCCGGTAATGGCACTGTCGAAAATTTCCCTTGAGCACATGTTTTATAGCATTGCTTTTTGTGTACTTGTCTTTTATGTGTACGGTGATTTTGATTTCGTAATTAGAAGTTCTATAGTTGCTGATTCCTGTGCTTAAGATGCCAATAATAGAAAATTAGCCCTTAAAAGGTTGAAAACGCATCAAAATAGCCTGTAACAAATTACCGTTACAATGATCATATGTATTTGAACTTAAGAGTTGACAATTTTCATACTACATCCTGAGTGTTTCAACAAGAAGTAACTTATCACATTGCAATACAACTGGTGATGAAAATGTGCCATATTTTGAAGCAAGGCACTCTTGTAGATTGACTCCCATTTTTGTTTTATGATATATGGAGAACATCATAAATTTTGATTATGTTCTATTGGTGTAATCAATACAGGAAATTTGTCTTCTCATTCCCTAAATTGAAGCCGCCTCATTTTTTCCCCAAGGACGGTAACACACCAGAGAAGGCAGAAAAGGAGGCTATGGAAAAGGACTCCCTGAAACCCAAAGACAACGATGAAGAAAAGGAGAAAAGCAAGAAGAAGCCAGAGGAGGAGGTTTAGTTCTTCTCTGTGTTTGATGTTGTGAATGCGTCAATTTCTCTGTTGGCATGGCAACATCTTTCATCAAGTTAATTATGTCACTTGCGGCAGCCAACTTTTTGGGGGTTGACCGAATTGAATTGACAACCCAGATCAATAATGTAGTGACAGACTGAGAGGTCAAAAACAATTATATTATCATACTATCAACTTGTAACCTTGTTTTTTTTCTCAGGCATAACTTGCTAGGTCCTTGAAATTGAACTTGACAATATTGATTGCATAGATTATTACACAATTATTACAATTTCAATACTTTGATCTAGATTTAGAATATTTCGATTCCCTGAAAATGTGGCATATACCACTAGGCTTTGTTGTGTACTAGCTTTGTTAAATTGGTTTGTATCTATTTGGGAATGACTGTATCTGTGCAACAGAAATTAAAGATGCAACCAGAGATCAGTTTTAAACTGAAGCCTTTCATCCTATTTTGCCATTTTGGAAAAGCCTGTAACATGGAAATTGGATCAGGAAATGACAAATTACCCACTCAGGCTGAAACATTCACTGTAGCAGCCATTTCAGCCATGTATCAGGGCAGTTTGATTCTGTCAATGGTTACAAATACCAGGTCTGCTTCAAAAGGAGCCAATGGTAGCAAGGCTGGCGTTAAAAATGGGTTGGCTGGAATTACGAGAAATATATGGATGGTGGACAAATGGTCAAGTTGCCTTCATGTCTGCTTGTTCTGCTGCCATTGTGGATAATCCCTTACAAATGAGACTGAACCTTTCAGACAAGATAAGCTAGCTCTGCTGGCCTGCCGGAGGATTCATTGTTATTCCCTCGGTGGCGCCTTCCTTTCCAGCCAATGTATGTCAACATGTCTCCGTAAGTGTGCTTTGCTCAGGTCAGGTAAATTTGATCCTGTAAACTCTAGTCATGCAATATACAGTTACCGGTACTGTTTGAACGGATGTTTGGGAGAAGGAGGAGAAACAGTTGACTGCTGCACTGGGAAGGCAAATCTTTTCTTCTGTTTGTTACATCAGGGTAATTGTGTTGAGGATCAGGTTAGGACAAAGCATAGTGTAGCTCTTTGCATCAAAGTCTAACATAGTTGCGGCTAGCTTCTGAACTTCAGAAATGAAGTTAAATTGCACTCTAATGCAATACAGTCTAATTTAGCTGAATTGTCTGGAGACATTAGTACAATAAATAGTTTTAATGGTTTCAAGTAGATAACATTCAAGGTGATCTGTTTAATATCAAACAAACAACTTCAGGTCGACACTTCTCCCTTGACTCTAAGCCATCAATATTTGATAACCTGGCTCTGGTTCAACGCTTTATGAAAAGACTTTGGCATGAATTTTTCGGTTGAATATGTGTCATCACAGTGTTCCGAACCGTTTGCACTTGGAAAGATGAGAGACAATTCCCAGGGTGTCTGCTCTTGGATGGAAATAAGATTTAGAGGAAATTACGAGATTAGTATCTGAGTGCAGGCGGACTGAGCGGAATAATAAATGTGTTTTCCAGACTGGCGGCAGGGTAATTTGTAGATTGATGCAGCTTTTAACTTACTGAAAGGTTGTAAATTGAACCCCTTTCACTCCCAGACGTGGCCCAATGCGCATTTCACGAAAAACTGAGCGCAAGGCAAGGAACGATTTTTCCTTCATTATATTGAGCTCTATTTCTGGTTGATCCTATTTTCCTACAATGGCTGTCGTGGGAAATCTCTCAGCAGATAAATTAGTTGGAGGATGCCTGCAGCAAACTGTGGATTGCATCTGTCGTTCGTGATATAAGGATGTATTGGCTATATCCGGGATCGTGCTGCGTCAAATGTCCTGAGAGAAAGAAAAAAACAGGATGCAGAACAAAAGACAATTCTGCTGATACAACGGACTGAAAAGGATGTGAAGAGATCTCTAGTTATAAAGGCTCTGATGTCATGTAGAAGTCTGATTCATGAGTCAAATTCAATGATACCAGATTGATGCAATCCTCTAATGCCAGGCCTGAGAAATAGGCCATCTATAAGTGGCTGTTGCAATGGACCCATGCTGTGATGTGGGCGTGGCACATTTAGCAGTGCAAATTGGGGATAGAGATGATTGTGATAGAGGTGCCATGGCCACTTTAGTGATGGGGATGCCACGCCCACCATATTCATGGAGATGCCAGGGACATCTTTATTAATGAGTGCCACACCTACCTTAGTGCTCAAGGTGCCACACCCACCGTGCTAGAGGTGCTATACTCATCTTGTTGTTGGCCAGGGGTAGTGATTATGAATCATGCTAAATTCTCAGAGCTGATTGTAAATTACATTAAATCACAAGGCTTATGTTAATACATTTTTATGTTGATTTTAGGTGTCATTTTGCGTTAAAGGCCTGATTTATGCTTACCGAAAGGGCATGCAGAGCTGTGAACTGTGCTGAGGAACACTTTCATTAAATTTATTATGTTACCATGTTTTCATGCCAAAACTTTTCATACACTTCAACTGTTTGATGGCTTTGTGATAGCCTGGTACTTGGAATGTTCATGTAGTCTTCCTTGACCTTACATTAGTTCAACAGACTGTGGCTGCATGGTATTGGGAAGGTCACTGAGGCATAACACTAGGTTTTCCATATAAATTGGGCTGATTTTTCAAAAGATACGTGGCAAGACAGTAGAAGTCCACTGAATTTTTACCCCCAGCAGGTCACGTCACCACTAGCAACCTCTAGGTCAAGAATAAGATAAATTCTATTGCACAATGTACAACTCAGATAAGACTCAATGAATTGGAACTTTACATATGGACTGTTAGATTTTCTTAATGTGTGCAGTATTGACCAGTCTCACATGTTTTACTCATGCCAGCCCATGACTCCCCAGTGCAGTCAGAATGTCTACTATCTACATCTAGCTATTGATCCACATCAGAAAAGTAGAGACGTACATTCTGCCTCAGCATTAGGGCTTGGCTTGGTGTGTGGGTGTGATACCCTCTTTCCTGACGTCCGCTCTTGCGTTTAATCTTCTGCAAGGTCCAAAGATCAAGACTCCCTCCTCCTCTGATGGATCCAAGCCTCCTTGCAGAATTCTTATCAGTGATCTGCTTCTCTGCTCTAAGTGTCCCCATAGTGTTTGAAGATGTGATGTACTTTTGAAGATGTGATATGGTAGTAGACACTGACCTGCCCTGTAACAAGCCAGCCATATCACTTGACCCCTGGTGTGTGCATGCCATAAATCAATGTCTGGTGGAAATGAGTTCATTGGGTTCAGGTGGTGTTTGATATATAACCTCTATGTGGATGCAGAAAATGTTGTCAGTTAGTATCCCTTATCAACAATTCTAAGGACCCAAAAAAAGCCTTTCCTGATGGTTGGTTATTCTGGAAGTATCATGTTTGCAATAGCTCAAGTCTTTCGTTAGGACAATTAAATTTAGATACATATGTAACCATGTACCTTAGAACATAGACTACCAGGACATTAACAATAGTGAACTAAGACCTACAATGTACATGTCCACATGTTCAGCTAGATTTCCAAATTATTCAAGACAAGTAACATTTTAAAAAGTTGAAACTTGTAGAAAAGGGCAACATAATCATAGTAGTATATTATCGCAGTCTGTAATACAGAATAAGAATAAGCCGCCACCTGTGCTCCGTAAGACTATTACATGTATATGAAAAATGGTAATGTGAAGAAAATATGAAGCAATTCCAGTAAAAACTCTCCCTCAATTAGGAAAGGGATTTTCACCTAGATGAGATGTCAAGAAATGCTTGATGATCATAGATTAGCTGTTAATGGAAGTGTGCTGAGCTGTCAAATAGGCAATAGTGTTTTTGCCCCAGTTTCATAAATTGCAGAGATTAATTAAAGACTGGTGCAGGGTTTGTCCTATATGCAGGGTCATGTGATTTTTCACTACAAGGCTGACCATTTAAAAGATATACATTTATGTACTACTAGTATCCTTACCACCAAACACAGTGTGGTACGTAGAGATTAGCCTTCTCTAGATCTGTCCTGCCTAACCCCACAACTAATTGAATGCAAATTTATTACCAACCGGGCTAGTGCCCCAACAAGAAGAAGGTTGAAGAGAAATAATTGCCTTCCTCATCTCTTACTGTGGTCATTTCTTGCTCTTACTGATTGATAATCTAGGAAAGGATCTACTTAGTCAGAATGGAGATTTTATGATTGTACAACTGATATACAAAATTTGATTTTAAAACAGTATGGTGGATGTTCTTTCATGTTATGTCTTTGAAGAAATTCTGTAGCGTTAAACTGTACACTGTGTCATAAAGTTCTGTGCACAACACATTTAAGTTGGCATTTTTCTTTAAGATTCAATGAATATTGTTCATCAGTTTTATTTACAATGCATGTATGTGTCAAGGAATATTAGGGCTTTATAGGGCATTGTAGTCCTTGAGATTGTCTTAAAAGCTCAACCTCTTAAGGTGCCTTCATAAGAAATTAAGAGCATAATGCTACACCCGAGACCCCCTACCATCAAGATGACGTCAACTTGATGTTTGCTTGTGTCATGCTGCCAAGGCCGACCTATCACAGCATGAAGTATAAATTTTACAAGGGTGGAAACCAATAATGCTACAAGGCTGAATCCTGCTTTATTACATGAGCATGTAGACGTACATGTACACCATCACTGTTGGCTTTCGGGGCTGAGAAATTGTCACGATTCCAGCAACTGACGCAATCATAATGTCTAATTTCATACGTGTCTGTATTACAAATACTGTATATATGTTACTACTTACCAATTTTGCGAAATTAATATTTTCCATTGGATAGGTACTAGTAATAACCACAATCAATTAGTTCATTTGGAAATTAATTATTTATTCTATATCCATGGCCATATAGGTATAGAGAAAAGGTTAAAGTATCCGATACACTGCAGCCTTACCTGACTGTGTTTATGGGTGTATAGTTTGATGAATGAGGAGGGAATGGCTATG